TATCTATCTATCTATCTATCTATCTATCTATCTATCTATCTATCTATCTATCTATCTCATGGTATTTTCCCACGTCATAGTAGCTGTGCTTTTAAAGTTGTAGCGACGTTTCAGCAGAATCTCATCTGCCATCATCAGGCTTCTGTAGGCTATCTGTATAGGGGCAATTAAACAAACTCTGTATTACACAATTTTGCAAATCTGTAAATACACAATTTGCATTAACACAAAGACAATTTTGTAAAGTTCTCAAACTGTTGCTCTTGCATGTGGCTCCCTACATAGAAGGGTTATGAAGCCAATCTGTCAGGTAATTGGCAAATGGATTTTGACCTAACAATTAAGTAAGCATTTTCAACTTTTGCCAATAATTGCCTTGCTTCATGAAGCTATAAGCAAGATAAGACTTATCTGTTCTTAAGTAGCCCAACAGTGTTTTGCAAAACTGGTGTCAGAGAATTATTGCTTATTCCTTGCACTGTTGTGGAAAACTTAGAAAGCAAAAAAGCAGGAATTTTTAAGTGATTGGAACTGTGAGATAATCTGTTCTCTCAATAAAGGGAATTGGCATTTCTTTAAAAAAATCTTGTCCTTACACTGAACTTAATTATATTTTTGCTCTGTATATATACATGCATGGCCATGTGTACAAGCCTTTACAGTGTGTACATATGTGTCAGTACATTTCCTTTGTGATTTCAACTCATTTCAAGTTTGAAAAAGTCAACATGAATTGCTCCAAAGAATGGAGAGCTTAATCTGCAGTTAGTTTTCACTAAACACTAATGTTGTAACAAGCTGAATCTCAAATGTGAGTGGTTTTTTTAAGTCTGCCTCTAAAATTTATGTGGCTGAAATCATCATGAGATGACTTTTCCCCATGGCTGTTAGTGGCTATGATTCATATAAGCCAGGAATGGGAAATGGGCAGGTTTCCAAATGTTACTGAATTGCAGATGAGGCAGGGATATTGGGCATTGTTGTTAATTTGGATGATCACAGATTGGTCATCATTGACATAAGCCCTTAATCTGAAGTCTAGAAGCTGAAATTGAGTCATAAAATTAGCAAGGCCAAAAGCTTGGTATATGTCCATTTTGTTAATAATTAAAACACCACCAATACCCTTTCATTTAGTTTATGTAAGCCACAAAGGAGAAATGTGATTTAAAGAAAAGCACTAGGCACAAGTGAAATACTGTTACAGCAATTAGAATGCAATTCCCAATGGCATTTAAAAAATTAATAAATTCTGATACATGCGACATTGTTTAGAGTAGTACTGTTCTTCTTTTTTAGGGGTGGGGGAGAATAAGAAAAGCAAAGTTTATCACAATCTTTACACTGAAATTTAAAATATGGGAAAATACATAACGGTTGTTAAGAAAGGAACAACTTTTATCTTGACTTAAAATGTTGACATTTGTTTTTTTATTTTATTAATAACCTGTTGCTGCCTAGTGATTCTGAACAGAATCACTCCCAGTGATTCTGAACAGTTTATAATTAGAAAAGTAGGATGACAAAACTAGATAGGAACAAATGACAATGAACAATTCAAAAATGAGGCTTCAAAGGGCTGGGTGAATAGTCAAATCTTCAAGAAGGTTTGAAACAGCAGAAGATTAGGGGTCTCCAGATCTTTGTGGGGGGAGGGCTTCATTCCAGACAACAGGTTCTGATACAGAGTAAGTGCACTTACGGGGTCCTGATAATTTAATTTCGTTTAATTGGAGAATCTGGAATTCACTACAACTACCAAGTCAAATAAATTAGGCAGATACTGTGTGAATTAGGCTCCTTCAGGTAACCAGGCTCTATGCCATGTAGGACTTTATAGGTAATGACCAACACCTTGAATTATGCCTGGAAGCAAGTTGGCAACCGGTGCACATTAGAATGCATGGGTGTTACATGGGTTTACTAATGGCTATCTGGATGATCTTCAAGGGCAGAGAGCCAAGTGTGCAATTTCAAAGAAATGAATGACTAGGAATCCCTGAGCTAGGAAAGGGCAGAAGTGGTGCATCAGATAAAACTGCAAAGGCTTTCCTGGGCACAGCTGTCACCTGCTCATTAAACAGAGCTGGGATTCTAGGAAGACCTTTCCCCCCAAGTTCTGTTCCATCCTTGAATGAAAAAGTGCCACCTCACCAAAGGTCAGAAATAAAATATAGGTTCTTTCTGTCTTTCTAACTCCATTTATTACTGTGAATTTTACCCAAAGCACATTTAGTGAACTGTTTCTTAATTTTTGGCTGTTATTTTTTTAAAACTGTGTTGCTAACCAGATTATATGGTTTCTAGGGTGACCTCAGTAACTTTTTACACTTATTGTTTGGTCTTTCTGTTTCCAATGCCTTTCATGCAAAATCATATTGAGCTTCTTTTGTCCTTCTATGTATAAGGAAGGGTTACATTTATAGTCAGCATGCTTTCTTGGTATACTTTTTTGTAGGCTTAAAATAAACCCAAACCATACTGCTTCACAATCTTGATTTGTTACAGCTTACTTGGTTCCATTAAGTGGTTTGGCAAATTACACATTTCCAAAAAAACTTGTTCTAATTTCCCCCCTTGTGCATTCCATGCTGTGGTTTTCAAATAACTATTCCTTTTAAAGGAATTCTGTTAAAATTAAAATGTTTGCATATTTCTACTATGTGCTTTCCCTTGCATCATATGGGGCTTTCTATTTTGTAAATCTTACAATGAATAGCATTATTTGACTTTGTATCCATAATTCTTAAACTATGCCAGATTGTAAATTATTATATTTGACTTCTTGTTATGTGTTTGGAGAATAACATATGAAGTAGTCCCTTTATCCAAAATTTGGAGAAATAAAAAAAGATATTAAAACCCATTGAAATTAATTAGACTGTTAAATTTGTTTTTTCATATGGTTTGTTATATATATCTTATGTAATTATTGAAGAGTTTTTTTTAAAAAAAGAAACCATCTGTTAACTGTTCCACTTAATTTTTGACTCAATCTTCAATAATCCATATTCAACAACTAAATATAATTTACTAGCAAAAATAAATAAGTTAACTATGAGGTTCTCAAACTATCAGGGTGTCTTATTTCATTGAATTTTAATGCATGTATTGTAATATGAATTAAAATAATGCTGGACCAAAATTCCAGAGATCATTACTATTGTGATGACTAGGTCTTCCTCTTTGAACTTGAGCAGACCATAGTTTTTCACACAAAACTAAGAAAACGGAACCTAGCATCTGTTGCTAGAAATCCACATGACAGTTCTACCTAACTAGCACAACTGAAGTCTATCTAGAATTGGTGCTATTTATTTTACATTCAGAATCCAGGACTCTCTAGTGACAATAGACTAATTGTAGTCCATAATGCATTTATGAAGCAGTTGTTGACCTTTTACCATGATGTCACAAAAGAAAGTTATGTCAGTCAGTATGTTTTATTAAAGTGACAGTTTTCATGAAGGAAATGCCTCCTAAATAATTTTATTAATAATCCTTCCAACTTGACTGATTATATCAAAGGCTCCACTATAAGTCAATTTTTCAGGGCTCTACTTATATGTGGAACTAGACTTTCTCTGTATTTGCTGTATTTATTACTATTCACAATTCTAAATGATTTAATGAAAACAAAAGAAATGCTGCCTGGATGTTAAAAAAATATATGATTTACGAATCTTCCTTGAATTTTACATTTTAGCCATTATCTAAAACTGTTTTAACAAATATCACTTGCAACCATCTGCAAAACTTATTCAGCTTCAGGAGTGAAATATGTGCTTACTTTACTTATGCTTAAATAGTTCACTAAATCATGATTGACTATATATGTTCAAGAGTGGAGAAAGGCATGGAAAATGTAGCATAGGACAAAACTTGAAAACAAGCATGTTCAATAGATTTTGAATGTTCAAGTAATTGTTTGGGCAACGGGTCATTCCTTTGGAATGTTTTGTTTTATGATTTGTTTTACAGCACAGCTAAACACACACTATCTAAATATCTATAGATGTGTGTATACACATACACACACAAATAATGTTGCCATAGAGGACAAATTCAGCAAAGATTTAGGAAAGGAAAAAGAGGGTTTTATTGCTTCCTGTACTCTTACTGTACTTCCATCAAGCCACATACTGAACTTTCTAATCCATCTCTAAGCCTAAGAATAGAGAAATGACTTTACTAACATATTTTTTTGCAATTTCTGAGCATAACTTTCCTTTCTCTGCCTTTCTCCACTCTGGGGTTATCAAATTCTACCTTGGTTTTTACCAGCCAAATTGTACAAACAGTGCATACAACATTATTATGTGAATAGTCTCAGCCAGCCAGTATCTATCGATTGAGACAGACCCATCATTTTAAATTTCAAGTAGCAAACATCTCACTTCATAATAAGGTATTCAAAATTTTCCTGTGTAATTTTCCTGTCAGAAAGGATCTTATTTTTTAAATTATTTTGGCTTTCTAAATTGGTAAATTGTGAAGTATTAAATGTGATATAATAAATAAAGATTGGGGTAGTGAGTATTAACATTGTCCCCTACGTAACTTCCAGTATTTCAAATCCTTTTTATTTTTCTAGGAATTCCCAGTCTTACTGGTACAGGAACCATTTCTGTCAAAGTAGATGATGTCAATGACAACATGCCCAAGTTTGCCTTTAATATGTATTCTAAAACCATTCCAGAGGATGCACCTACTGGGACAGATGTTTTGCTTGTAAATGCCTCAGATTCTGATGGCTCTGTGAACGCTGTCATCAGGTATGAATACTTATTTTGGTGCTTATCAGTGAGTTCCTTTAGACTTTGTTTGTCCTTATTCTGGAACTGATTTAATAGAGGGTTCCTTGGTGCTCTTTCAGCTTGCTTGTTTTCTTGCAGATGTTTTATTACCCTAACTAGGTAACATCATGGTAATGAAACATCTGCAAGAAAACAAGCAAGCTCAGAAAGCACCCCTCATTTCAATCCTAAACTACAAATATTCCCCTTCATTGATTTAATAGAGCCTGAAGATTTGATATTTCACTGAACAGTTTCCTTATGCTTTACTTTAACCTGAAATAGATTGTTAAAAATATGCAAAATGTGCTTTTCCAAATTTTAATACTTTTATAGTTCACGGTAACATACCAACTTTAGCATCGCATGTTAGTGTCTTCTGTAGAGTTATGGAATTTATTCTGTTGGGAGGTACTTAGGTGTATCATTACTAGTATAATTTGTACGATCTTACATCCTTTTTAAGATGAACGTAAACTTTATTTTTGGAATGAAGTGAACAAAGCTTTTGCAAAGAGTGTACTTTTCTGCCTTAAAACTACATTGGCTTTTAATAAGGGTATAGTAATTTGAAGGGGGGAAAATTGAGAAACAAAAATTCCAAATGCTTGCAAAACTATAATTATTATGTACTAAAATTAGGTTCATAATTTTTTACAAAATATTTTTTCTTGATTTATAAAGGTATAATTCTGCATTTAGTGATAAATTAATGAATGCCATGCTGCTACATTTCAGTTTTGTGTTGATAACATTAATGTATATTTTAAATCTGATATAGGACTAAAAAAGTGTAAATAAGTTTCCATTGGCATGTAAGGTTTTATCCAATTATAAATGAATGATAAATAAGAATAGTGTGGGCAATAGAGTGTAGTTGTCTTTCAAATCCACTTAAGCCTTCCTTTATCCCAACACCAATGAAATAACATTGTAAACCCTCGCATGAGATCACAAGAATCATTTTCTCACTGAACTCTCCTGTGCTTTTGGTAGTGATTTGACTGTTCTCATGAGAGTTTTGTTAATGCCCAATGTAATAATATCATTAAAATTTATGATGATAGAGGAAATGCATACTGTATATATGTTTGCATTTATATACAGAGAAAGCTTGCCAACACTTGGATAAGAAATTATAAATATAATTGGTCATAATCTGTATATACTAACGGTTTCTGGATTTGTTGAAAACAACAGTTGTAGGTCAAAGAATCGTATTTTCTTTTCAAAGATGGATTTTCTTTCCAAAGATCTACAACAAATTAGGAAATATTCCCCCACTACCCTTCAGAAAGCTTATTAATATCCAGTATTATGGCCCAGTGATTTTTACATTTTTTTCATAATATTTTTTTTCTTTTGGAAATTAGAAAATTCCTATAATTTATTATTACCAGGAAACAAGGGAGGGTTACATAAGAATTTAAGTGGCAGTAGCAGATTTAACATTTTACTCAGTGGGTTTATGTGTTTTTAATAGAATGCAGAGAAGCTTCATGTTTGTTTCTAATAACTTTTGTCATTCAAAAAAACCAGAATAAGCTCTTTTCCATTTCAGTTAATGTGAACATCAGCTTGTTGTTTCCCAAAAAACATGGAAATGGAATTTAAGATGCTTGCCTCATTTTTTGAAAAAACTAGTCTTTTCAAAAAAGCAAATTCAATATCATAATCAGTTTAACCCTTACTCTAGTTCATTCTTAAAATACAGAATGAATAAAGATGCTTAATTTAAAATATTCATATATTTTTATTTGATTGACAACAAGCTTAAAACTGAGTACTGCTGTGATCGCTATCATTTGTCTAAAATGTGATGTAATGAAATTACACATTATTTTATTCTACAGGATTATACATCATTTACACTCCATAGGAAATTATTTGTATAAAACCTTACATATGCTAGAAATAATACTAGAAAATAGAGTTTTGGTATCTTAATTTACTGTAATTTTTAATTAAGAATTTTTTTGCACAGGCCTATTTTATTCATTTTTGCTGTAACCTTCAAATAGTCATAAAGGTAAAAGTCCAGTCCCTGCCAGTCATGTGCAAATCTAGGGGGCAATACTCATTTCTGTTTCTTAACCAAGAGAGAGCAAGCACTGTCCAAATGCATTTCCCTGGTCATGTGATAACATGACTACATGCTAAAGGTGCATGGAACATTGTGACCTTCCCATTGAAGTGGTACTTATTTATCCACTTCACATTTACATGCTTTTGAACTGCTAGATGGTCAGGAGCTGGGACAAGTAATATGAGCATGGTGCTTGAGTCTTGAACTTATGCTGTCAAATTTCCAGCTGACAAGCTCAACATCTTTAATCACTGAACCATCGGACCCTCTTTCAAAAATTCATACCAAACATTAATGTAATATGTTATATTTTGACTCTGAGGTCCACTCCTACAGAATAACCATGTAATAATTCTCATGAGCATAGTTTGATCCAAGTTTCCCTAAATTTGTGTCTTTCAAATGTATTTCCAGTATTTCCATTCATTCCTAGTTATTCCAATGTAATGTGAATTGCACTTCAATATATATTTGGAGGGTATCTGTTTGTAAAAAGCTGCCTTATAGTTTATTGAATTAGTTCTTGAGACATTCCTCAACATTACAATTAGAAGGGATATATATGCAACATATGTAAAAATAAAATGTCATTTTGCTAGAGTTGCTGGACAATGTGCAGAATATAGAGTACTTGTTTGCTTACTTTGGTAGTGAGATACTCAAGTCATGTTCCTTTAGCATTTGGTCTGATCTAATAGTATTCTTCTATTTCTGTACATTTGAAAAACTCAAAACAGTCTTGAACAATAATTTTTGCACAATATATTCTGGATCAAACCTATCAGTCTGGGTTTCTTTTTTAGCCATTGAGTATGCAAAAGAGATTAGATCGAGATCAACATATGAAAGGATATAGTGAAATATTTAGGGAAGGAAGTATTGCCACTGAGCATTCACCTAATCAAATATTTCTTCTCTCCAGTCTACCAAGCAGGCAGTCCTTCTTGGTAACATAGACAATGGTATGCATGAATACTTGTAGATTTTATGGGAAATGGTTGTGTCAGATTATGATTAAAATGAATTCAGTTCTGAGTTATGTAAGAATTCACTTTGTAGTTTTCTACCAACTAAAAAAAAATGACATCATGTCCAATTGTTAAGTGAAAAAAAACTGGCAAGAGTAACAGTCTGGGCCACATGAAAACATAAGAGATTATATTCAGCATAGCCACTGCTGAAAGTTCTAACCATTTTGGTTGCTGCTGCAGGCTCAGTGGATAATGCAGTAGAAAGCTAGTGGTGTTACCTTCATTGTTAAAAGATTTGTACATTAAAATAAAAGAACTTTGCTTTTCTTCACAATTTTAGGTTAATAGTGTTTCGGTAAATAGCTCTTCATTAGAAACTCATACATTCTTATTAATAATAAATGATAAATTTTTGAAGGCATGCTTGTTACCACTTGTATCATCTATACATGATTTTAGACATTTTCTATTCTTTTCATACCCTATTTTGAGCTAAAATTAATAGTAACTTTAATAACTATTATTGATAAATTTTAAAGAATTTTTTTTCTTTGATTCTGTTTTCCTAATTGTAAGAGCTGCTCATCAATTGAACAGATTGCTATGAGTTGCAGTGGACTTTCTTTTCCTGGAAATGTGTAACCCAGGATGCTATCATAGTGGATTTATACAATGAACAAGGGAGCTTAGGCCATAAGACTTCAAAAATCCCTATCATTCTTTACCTACTATGATTCTTTGATTTATAACTGTGCTGAATTTTATATATATGTACATATGTATATACACATGCATGTACATATGCATGTACATATTGTTATACATGTATAGGCAACATCTAGATTGTATAGCATTATAAGGTATTAATTAATTTTAAAAAATTAAATATTTATTATGCTCATAGAACAGTATGTGGGTGGGGTATTATCACTGAGAAAGAATAGGCAATACATCAGAATCTTTAAAAATAGAAACTTATAAACAAAGAATATATAAAGAAATATATGAATTTAAACAGAAAGTATACATAAGAAACAAGACACCAAAAGACTCTAAAAGGGGAATTAGATAAGTGTAGGAGAGCATAAACGTTAGTATGTGGAAGACTATATCTATGAAATTATAAAGCACTCTAGTATAGAAAAACTAGATGCTCATTAAGTCTAGTTTATGGCATAGGTCATCATCCAACAAATTTTAAGCACTGTTGTATAGAATATGGTAATGCTGTATATTGTCACAGGATTGGTATGTGAAAGCAGAAGAGGTGTAGAATTTTTCTGTATTCCCTTGATATTTATGCAGTAATGGTGAGATAAGGCTGTTACAAATGTCTCTGTTATACAGGAAATGGAGAAGATTGGCAGATCATACAATTTATTCAAATATGAATTATAAATCCATATATTTCATAACACAATCAGTATGGAAAATGTTTTCTCTTTGAATTTATGCAGCTATAGTCTCAGTGGTGGAAATTCACAATTCACAATCAACCCTTCCACTGGACAGATCATTACAAGTGCTCTGTTGGACAGAGAGACTAAAGAGAATTACACTTTGATCGTTATAGCCAAGGATGGTGGCATTCCAACTCCTCTTTCCAGTTCAGCCAGTGTTTTTGTCACAATTGCAGATGTCAATGACAATCCCCCTAAATTTCAACATCATCCTTACGTCACTCATATACCATCACCAACAAGTACAGGTAAGATAATAATAAAAGCATGATTCTAAAGCATCTATTCCTAAGAGATAATAAGGAAACAATGCTAATTTGATTAAGCCAGTCCCTGAGTATTTCACATACAATAATTTAACATTTAAATTAGAATAATTTAAATAGAATAATATTTTCTTGTTTTATTATAATATTTTTTCAAGTTTTGTTATTAATGTTTATTAATACTCTTTGTATTTACATATAATTAAGATGGCATATCTGATTTATGTACACTAAATTCTAAATAGGTCTCATTCAGTATAATTATAATTCTTCACTTGGAATAAACATGTCACAATATGCTACAATATATATTTATTGGAGTGAAATTTTGCAATAAAAAAATTAAATTCAAACACTCTTTAAAATTGTTTCATACTTCTGATTTTCAAAATACATTTTACTGAATAAGTTTTTCATGAAAAATCCTGACCAAACATGGTTAAAATTAATGTTGTCAAAGGCATTTCAAATTGCAACAGTTTGTTTTGAAGGGGGAAAAAGTTACATTCTTCATAAAGCAATCTGTGGTTGAAATAGAATAACTTAAGAGACAGTTAAGCTAGTATAAAAGTTTTTGAAATACCACAAAATATCTACATCTGCTTATAACTGGCAGCTGAATATAAAAGATTACTCAGAATCCAGTGCCATTGTGTTTGCTGCCATGAATGTTGGGGATTTTCTTTTAACAAAAACATTCACCAATTTCTGCCTGTAACTTTTTTCACTCAAGTTTGTTGTTGGGAATAAGAGATGATTCAATGTTATTCAAAGCATAACATTTCAAGACTGAATAAATTACTGAAGTTCATTGTTACAGCACTGATGTGAACTTTTTAATTGCTTTTTGTAGGTACTTTTGTATTTGCAGTGACAGTGACAGATTCTGACACAGGTCCTAATGCTAAACTTCATTATTCCCTTTCGGGAAAGAATTCTGAAAAATTCCACATTGATCCATCAAGAGGGGCAATTATGGTTGCTGACAGACTTTCTGGAACATCCGAAATTACCTTTACTGTGAATGTCAATGATTGCGGCCTGCTTCCAAAGATTGATTCCACAACTGTGACTGTAAGATTTGTAAACAGAGCTGATTTTCCTCAAGTGCATACCAAACAACACAAATTCATGTTCCCTGAAAACCAAGCAGTTGGCACTTTTATCACTTCTGTTTCTGGGGTGTCATCGAGAGGTGATTCTTTGTCCTACTTTATCGCTAGTGGCAACCTTGGAGGTACCTTTCAGATTGACCAATTAACAGGGCAATTATCAATCAGCCAGCCTTTAGATTATGAAGCTGTACAGAAATACATTGTCTGGATTGAGGCTAGAGATATGGGCTTCCCACCATTCTCTTCTTATTTAAAACTGGAAATAACAGTGATAGATATAAATGATAACGCACCATTATTTGAACAAGATCCATTCTTTGTTGAAGTATTGGAAAACCTTTCACCTTTTAAAATAATTACTGTAGCTGCAGTTGACAATGATAATGGGCCAAATGGACAGTTGAATTATGAAATAATTAATGGTAATATAGAGAACAGCTTCACTATTCATCATACAACTGGTGAAATTAGAAGTGTCAGGCCTTTAGACAGGGAACGAGTAGGCCAATATACCCTAACTGTAAAAGCTTCAGATAGAGGTACTCCTACACAAAGTGCAGTTGTCCAAGTACTTATCAATGTTTTAGATGAAAATGACAATGCACCCAAATTTTCTCAGATATTTAGTGCTCTTGTGCCTGAAAATGCACCTTTGGGCTACACTGTTACACGAGTCACAACATCAGATGAAGATGCTGGAATAAATGCAATCAGCAGATATTCAATAAGGAATACAAATATACCATTTGTTATAAATCCTAACACAGGAGATATAACAATTAGCAGGCTTCTAAACAGAGAAGATACAGATCGCTACAGGATTCGAGTTTCAGCACATGACTCTGGATGGACTGTTAGCACAGATGTGACCATATTTGTGACAGACATCAATGACAATTCTCCACGATTTACAAAACCATCTTACTACTTGGATTATCCTGAAAGTAATGAAGTTGGATCCAGAGTGACCCAAATATCTGCCACAGATCCAGATGAGGGAACTAATGGACAAGTCTTCTATTTCATAAAATCTCAATCAGAGTTTTTCAGAATTAATGCATCTACAGGGGAGATTTTCAGTAAGCAGCCTTTAAAGTTCCAAAACTCCAGTGCTTCTAATCATGTCAATCTTAATAGACACAGCTTTATAGTTATCTCCTCAGATCGAGGTAGCCCCGCATTGGTGAGTGAGACTACAGTCACAATAAATATTGTGGATAGCAATGACAATGTACCCCAGTTTGTCTTCAATCAATATTTTACACCTGTTACTAAAAATGTTGCCATTGGGACCAAACTAATTAAAGTAACTGCAGTTGATTCTAAAGACTTTGGTCTGAATGCAGAAATTGAATACAGTATTTCAAATAAAAACCCTACAGATAAATTTATTTTAGATAGTAAGACTGGATGGATTTCAGTGGCCTCTTCATTGATGAATGAAATGAATAAAAGCTTTCTAATAAAAATAAAAGCTAAGGACAAAGGTAATCCTCCTCTTTCATCAGAAGTGCCTGTACATATAGCAGTAACAGAGGAAAATTACTATACGCCAGAGTTTTCTGAAAGACATTTAAGTATTACTGTTCCTGAAAGTCATGCTGTTGGAGCGATTCTTAGGACCATGTCAGCAGGGGACAAAGATGCTGCTATGAATGGAGTAATCCATTATAATATTTCTTCTGGAAACGAGGCTGGATGCTTTGCAATTAATTCATCTACTGGTGCACTATATCTTGCCAAGTCCCTTGATTATGAGCTATGCCAAAAGCATGAGATTACTGTAAGTGCTATAGATGGAGGGTGGGTTGCTAGAACTGGATACTGTAGCATTATTGTGAATGTTATTGATGTGAATGATAATTCTCCAGCTTTTATTCCAGAAGAGTATTTTCCCAGTGTTTTAGAAAATGCTCCTAGTGGAACAACTGTTATTCATCTCAATGCATCCGACATGGATTCTGGACACAATGCTGTGATTGCCTATGCAGTTCAATCTTCAGACAGTGACTTGTTTGTTATCGATCCTAACACTGGAATTATAACCACTCAAGGCTTCCTAGATTATGAGACCAAGCAGAACTATCATTTAACCATAAAAGCATTTAATGTTCCTGATGAGGACAAATGCAGCTTTGCTAATGTCAACATACATTTAAGAGGAACAAATGAATATGTGCCACGATTTGTATCTAAGCTTTACTATTTTGAGATTTCTGAAGCTGCTTCTAAAGGAACTATTGTAGGAGAAATTTTTGCAAGTGATCGTGATTCAGGGATTGATGGAGATGTCCACTATTTAATATTTGGTAGTAGTAGAAAAAAAGGTTTTCAGATTGATGATAGGAGTGGGCAGATTTATGTCACAGGTCCTCTTGATAGAGAAAAAGAAGAACGGATCTCTCTGAAAGTGCTTGCAAAAAATGCTGGGAGCATTCGTGGTGCAGATATAGATGAAGTGGTTGTTAATATCACAATATTAGATGCCAATGATCCCCCCATCTTCAACTTGGAGTCCTATAATGTCCGAATCAGTGAAGGTGTTCCTGTTGGGACCCATGTCACATTTGTAAGTGCCTTTGACTCTGATTCTCTCCCTAGCTGGAATAGGTTCTCCTATTTTATTGGTAATGGAAACAACAACGGTGCCTTTTCAATTAACCCACAGACAGGGCAAGTCACAGTGATTGCAGAGCTTGATCGAGAAGCCTTGCCAGTTTACAACCTCTCTATATTAGCAATCGATTCAGGAAGCCCATCAGCAACAGGCAGTGCCTCTTTATTGGTAACTTTGGACGATATCAATGACAATGGCCCCATTCTTTCTACCACTGAAGGAGAAATAATGGAAAACAACCGGGCAGGGACATTTGTGATGACGCTTCAGTCCTCTGACCCTGATCTTGCTCCAAATCAAGGTCCCTTTTCTTATTATTTGCTTAGCAGTGGTACAGCGACCAATTATTTTAGTCTTAGTACTGCTGGAGTTTTAACCACAACTAGAGAAATTGACAGAGAACAAATCAGTGACTTCTATTTGTCAGTAATTACAAGAGACTCAGGCATTCCTCAGATGTCTTCCACAGGAACAGTTCATGTAAAGGTAATTGACAAAAATGATAACCCATCACAATCTAGAACAGTAGAGATCTTTGTTCACTATTATGGAAATATATTTCCTGGAGGAACATTAGGCAGTGTAAAACCTCAGGATCCTGATATTTTAGATACCTTTCAATGTTCCCTTACATCGGGAATTACAAGCCTCTTCAATATTTTACCAAACACTTGTGACTTGAATTCCCTGGCAAGATCAACGGATGGAACATTTGACCTGACAGTTTTAAGCAATGATGGCTTGCACAACTCTGTTATTAATGTCATTAGAGTTTTCTTTTCAGGATTCAATAATGCCACTCTTGATAACAGCATTCTTCTTCAACTTAATGTGCCATCCTTGAAAGAATTTCTGACTAATCATTATCTTCATTTTCTACGGATTGCCAATTCCCAATTAACTGGACTAGGAACTACAGTACAACTCTATGGGATATTTGAGAACAACAATCAAACTTTTTTAATGGTAGCTGTGAAGCGGAACAACTACCAGTATGTGAGTTCTGGTAGTGTGACTACTTTCTTTGAAAGTATCAAGGAAATTATCTTTCGCCAAACTGGTGTGCAAATACGATCTGTGGATCATGATTCTTGCTTACAAAACCCTTGTCAAAATGGAGGTAGCTGCTTGAAGAAACTGGCTGTGAATCCTAAATTAAGAAGCTATGACAGTGTGCCAGTCATTATCATGGCAAATGAACCTCTTCAGCCTTTTACGTGCAGATGCATGCCAGGATATGATGGAGCATTGTGCGAAACTGATGTTGATGAATGCTTTCCATCTCCTTGCCACAATGGCGGAACTTGCCATAATCTGGTAGGAGGATTCTCTTGCAGTTGTCCCACAGGTTTTACTGGAATAGCCTGTGAGAGAGATGTAAATGAATGCCTATCCAGCCCTTGTAAAAACGGTGCCCTCTGCCAGAACTTCCCAGCAAACTTCAACTGTATTTGCAAACCTGGTTATACAGGTAAGAAATGGTTTCTGCATGTGTAGTTCCTATTAATTGAAAATAGAAATATGGTATCTATGGGCTTATTTTTTTATTATAACTTTTCATTCTAAAAACACTAATTCTGTTGAAGATAGTTGGGTCATACACCCAATGTTATTATCACGCAAGAAATCAGCATTAAATTCTGTCTAGAACAGTGGTAGCCAACCAGTGGGCCAGGGACCACTGGTAATCCATGAGAAAATGTTGGTGGTCTACAGAGAACTCACCCTCAAAGCAATTAATCCAGGCTGTGCTGGAACACAAGGCTGAGCTACCCACATGGCCCGCAGGAACACAAGGCTTGCGTCGCTTGCATTGCGAACAACAAGGGGTAGTGAGGGGAGGAGGGAAAGGCCAGAGGAGGGAAATTTCCCCACTTGCCCCATGCACCTGGCCTGGCCACTGGGCTGCTTCTTTCTGCTTCCATCTTCTTCTGCTTTTGGCTGCATGCAAGGAAAGCAGCAAAAGTATTTCGTTCTCTCCCCCAAACTCCACCAGAAATGAGTCTTTGAGACATTGCAAGGCATCCTGTTCCAAGAGGCTGTGCCGACACGACAAGTCTCACGAAGATTCATTTCTGGCAGAGTTTGGGGGAGAAAAAGAAAGATTTCTGCTGCTTCTGCTGCTTTCCTTGCATGAAGCCAAAAGTCCCTCTCCCCCCCTCCAAGAACGGAGCTGGACATAGCATCTTGTGATCCCAAATAAAGAACGATCGATCGGTAGGAAAACGGGGTGGGGAATTTTCCTGCAGACTTTTTGGGGGATTTTCCCAGGGTCTCTGGTCCATGAGAGTTGTAATTATGAGATTGGAGAACCTATACTATTTCAGGCAGGTGACTCTCCAGTTTCTTCTTAAAAACCTTCAGTGATGAAGTGTCCATGATTTCTGAAGGCAAGCTGTTCCTTTGGTTAATTGTCCTTGCTATTAGGAAGTTTGTCCTCAATTCCATTTTCCTTCTCTCTTTGGTTAGTTTCCAATCATTGTTTCTTGTCTGCCCTCTGGTGCTTTGGAGAATAATTTAACTCACCCTCTTCTTTGTGGCAGCACCTCAAATACTGGAATACTGCTATCATGTCACCCTTAATTTTTCTTTGTTTAGACTAGCCAAACCCAAAACCTGCAGGCGTTCTTCATATGGTTTAGTCTCCAGGCCTTTGATTATCTTAGTTGTTCTTCTCTGAACTGTCTCAACAACCTTTTTGTAGGATGGTGACCAAAATTGGTTGCAATATTCCAGGTGTGGTCTTGCTAAAGTGTGGTTTTGTAAAGTGACACTAATACTACAATTATAACAATTTTATTCTTTCCTGACTAGTTTCTTGCTTGCATAGATGAAAAGGAGACAACAAATCTGCTTCATGAGTACTTCATAATAAGCAAACAAATCTTTCTTCTTAAATACATAATTAAAAGGAAACTATATGGGTCATGGAGAAGATAGCCTTGTCTAACGCTTTCTCTTATATTTAGCTTTCCATATACTATATATTGTCATATGTTATTTATTATTAAATTAAGAACAATTCCATCAAATGTGTCCACACATACAATTTAGATGTAGTTTTATATCATCATTTACATATTTGAAAATTAATTTAATTTGAAAATTAAACTGTAGGTCTTGGAGACTTCCCTTAGAGATTGGAGTTCTGAGATGTGACAGAAAACAGCTTCAACCATGTCAAAGGTCCACTCTGTCCATCTGATAACTTTGTTGAATAATCAGGATATTAAGCCACTGTGTGAAATCTATTAATTCATCGACATAATTTCATGTAACATCTCAAAAGTGAAACAGCAAGAGCTGTCAGCTGCATCTCTGTTTAAAAAGCATACTGCAACTGGCATATGTTGCTAAGTGATTATTGGCATAGAAGCAGCTGTTGCATTTTTCTATGTAAATTCTAGCAGCATTGCCTACTATGCCTGAAGCTGTACATAATTCATAATTGATTGACTGATTTAATTCATCTAATTATATGAGATTGTGTTGCATATTGACTGAGCAAATCAGATTATTTGGGCAGCAGTATATAGCAGTTGCACAGCACAACTAAGTGATATTAGCTCCAGAGGTTAAATAACCATGTTCGTGTGTAGTAAGTAGTTAATGAAGATGCTGATTCCCAGACCTGACTATCATACTTACTTCTTGGCACAGCTATCTTTCTACATTACAGCTCTGTAATTTTCTTCATCTGTAAAACCATAGATACTGGAAATTTATATCTATATGTGGGTAACACTTATTGTACATTTTAGAAGTATATACATCTACCTCATATATGCACATAATATTATTCTGGGCATCATATTTTGTCTTTTCAAATTTCCAGTTTTAAATAATTGTGCATGAAAAAGTAAAAGAATGGGAAGCATACATCTTAAGAGCAGAACTTGTGCTTTTAACTTATATTTTAGGGTTAAAAATAGAAAATAGGGTTAGGGTTAAAAAAATAGAAAATAGAAATTTGAAAGGAACATTACTGCAAGGCAGCAAGGGTTTATAATCCTTTCTTAATGTGATAGTTTAATTCTAGAAAGGTTCCTGCCCCAGCAGCTTTTATTTTTCTGTGTCAAAAAAGATTCAGGTAAATATACATACCACATACTCACATACACACAAACATACGACAGTGATATATTAAAGTGCCCTTCAAATTTCAATTTGTATTTGAATTCTAATATATGTTCATCCCATTGATTGAAATCTATCCAAATCTATCTTCTTGTGAGATTACAACTTTCTCCGTTCCTCTTGTATCATACTAATTACTGGGGGCAATGCCATTCCTGCCATATTCTTCACATATGCACTATGCTTAGATGAATAGATGATTTATGCCATTGAGTTCAGGGCAACTTCTGTTTGAATCTTAACACTGGGATACAAATCTGATTTCTAATTTCTTTGAAACTATGACTGTTTCTTCCCATATTACCATATTTAATAAAAAGGTAAAGGTTTCCATATCAGGATTCCGCTTTAGCCGACAAAGTGCTGCAGAAGGCTGTCCAGGTTGAAAAGGGGTGCAGGGGGGCATGCATGCCCCCTCGGACCTCGTTTTGGCTGGCAAGGTGCTGCGGGAGGTGTCCATCCCATTTCCCCCCAGCTGACCCATGGAGGAGAACTACGATGTTGATCCAGCTCTTGAAGAAATCTAGTTTGACACCCCTGCTCTATGGCACGGTGCTCCTATTCATTTCTTGGCCAAAGACAATTTCAATAATCTTGTGGCTATGAACTAACTATTATTTAGTCTCTTCCATTTTAACTGAAGTAGGCAAAATTAATAAACAAACAATAAGAATAGATAGATAGATAGATAGATAGATAGATAGATAGATAGATAGATAGATAACTTTGAATGCAAATGTAATTATACATAGAATGAGTTTATAATAATAGATCTCTTGAACATTTCAGGAAAAACCTGTGAGTCCAGCATCAACTATTGTGAATGCAATCCCTGTTTCAATAGGGGATCCTGTCAAAATGGCGTGGAAGGATACTATTGTCATTGTCCATTTGGTGAGGAATGTTTCTGTTTCTGCTTCATACAGATTCACTCAGAGAACTTTACCATTTGTATTCTAGTCCTTAACACTGCATGCTCAGGCATTTTTTAAAATTCTAAATGCAAGTCCAGGTGCTAATAGACAATGCATAACAGCATGTTCCTCTGTTGTACTCCAAGAACTAAACAATATTCAGATTCCTTCTGCATATGATTCTAAATCCGTAAATAGAGTCATCCTCATCAATTTATCTAGTTCCTTCTTTAAGATAATTCCTGGCATTGAATTAAATTATCCTCTGTTAAATTACTCTCAATTTCTAATAGTAAAAGGAAAATTTATTCTCTCTATTATTTTTGTCTCTACTAAACTAAATTTTATAAATTATAGTGTTTAATAAGCTATTGTTTTCAAATTTTGTGGAATGTTTCAGTCTAATGTTTTTTTTTTTGTAGGTGTGGCAATTAGTAGACTGCTAAAGCAGTATAGTAAAAGGAAAGCATTTATTTTAGAAAGGAATTTCACAATCTAGCAAATTTTATAGAAAAACATGATTCATCAGGTTTTGTCCTTTCAAGATAAGGAATGCTACTTAAAGAGCAGAAATGACTAAGAAATGGTAAACTAAGTAAATAAAAGGCATAATATAAGAAAATGAAAGGAAATATAATTGAATCTGTTTTATATCAGTGCAATCCTTATTCCGTTTTACTCTAGAACAGGTAGTACTACCACCATCTGCAACTTTGCCATTTTTCAGCATTCTCAAAGCATGGACTAACATTAACAAATTAATATAAACAAATAGTTTATCCCTGATTAAATAGTCCAACTTTATATTACTTCTTTTTGTTGTGTTGCAGTCTTGACCTTTAAATCATTCCAAAGGCATCACAAAGTTGATTTTTCATCATTCTTTGAGATTTAAAAGAATGTAAATCTTGTAACTCCTGCTACAAGATTTATGTTTAAAAATAATATTTATAATTTCATAGTTATACAAATTTATCCTAACAAGTGTAAGATATGGCACCATCAAACTATATAATCCCTACAAAAGTTACATCTATTTATAAGTATTGCCAGACAATATTCTTTAAAAAATATATGCATAAAGCCAGAAAGACATTTTGCAGGACAAATGCTGAACACGGTAGTAATTATAGAAGAAGTCAGAAATTACTAGCTTAGACTGTGAGGCTACTATGTATAGAAAATGTAAAAGAAGATACAGCATCTGGCTATAATCATATACAAGTCTTGCATGAACTTAAAATCCATGTTAAATTACCACTGTTCATATAAAATAGAATTGTTGGATTTAGATATATTCCTAGGTTTTAGCTGGCTCAGTTTCCCTTCATTCCCAAAATTATTGTTACAGATTGAGGGGAGTTGGACTCATTCCAACTTTATAAAATGACTTAATTTTCTTCTAGTTAGTCCTCTAATCTTATCCGACTTTTTATTTGCAGTTCTTATCCTTTCTGTTTTGCTCAAATCCATCAAATTCAGTGTTCCATAACCCTCTTCGTTTTACTCTTATACCAATTTTCTCTTGCCCCAATATTTACTTCCACTCTTTTCTTATCATATAAGTTGCTATCTAAAGAATGCTATATCATTCCTACTACTAGTAGTAGTCCAGTAGTAATCAAGCCACTTCATTTAATACAGTTGAAGTTTTGAAAGCTTGTTTCATGCATACCCATGTAAAATCTATTACAATAGTCCAACTGGAATGTTTTCAAAGGATAAATAATTATAGCAATTTTAACTTACACTTCCATAAATTAATATATCTTTCCTGCAAGACATTCTCCCAGGACTATAATCACAACGAGTATAAATTTATGTATCCAAATCAGAAAATATTTACTGCACACAAATAAAAAGTAACTCAAATAAAAAACTAAATAACTAAAATATATAAATCAAATAACTCAAAAGTAACTCAAAATTTACTCAATTTTTTTAAAAGTTTACTACACTCAAAAAGACCAAGTTATCCACAAAAGTAAGTTATCTTTACTTGAAACTATTGATTTTATAATTAGCTTTGTACCTTTATTTCAGGGTTTTATTTTTGTTTAAATAGCACCTTTACTCTAATTATGACAAAGTTATAAAAAAATTAAATATGATAAAACAATACTAATATCCTAAAGAAGAAACCATATAAATTAAATACAAGTATATATTTAATTCAACCAACAAAAATCTTACTTGAACTGCAGGCCTTTTTTAATAGATGTTGGACTATGTGTAATGTTAAATAAATTTTAAATTATTGCTCTGGGTATGCATTTAAAACTATATTAAATTGTTAATGGGACATGTTTCTCATACTTATAATTAAGGAGAAAAACAAAGTTTATTAAAATCCCAATATATAGAACTATATTTTTTACATATTAAAGAAATATTACTTTTTACATTTTATTGCTATTATTTAATATTAATAAGGAAGAAATATGACTGGAACATTCCTAATATTTTAGTTTTTGATAGAAACACTATCCATAACATTTAATTAGTTCTGGAATGTTGTACAAGAATACTGATGCTGATTGTGTTATTTTTATAGGTGCTTTTGGAAAACATTGTGAAGTAAATAGCTATGGATTTGAAGAATTATCATACATGGAATTCCCCAGTATGGATCCAAACAACAATTACATTTACATAAAGTTTTCAACAATCAAAAGTAATGCTCTTATGTTATATAATTATGATAACCAGACTGGTGATCGGGCAGAATTCTTGGCACTTGAGATAACAGAAGAAAGGTTGAGATTTTCATATAATCTTGGCAGTGGCACATATAAACTTACCACAGCAAAGAAGGTGTCTGATGGACAATTTCACACTGTTATTGCTCGGAGGGCAGGAATGGTAAGCATTGTTTTAATGAAAATTTAAGCTTTAATTTATTTCAGGGCCTTAAGCACAATTAGACAGGTTTTTCTAAAGCAGAATTAGAGCTGAAATTGGACAAGCTTCTTCGTTTTAAAAGAATGTTCTTAAGCATATAAATGACTACTTCAAAAGGAAAAAAAAAATCTAAAATGGGAATAATTATTGAAGTGGATTAATGACTACCCTACTCTAATTAATTGGTACACTTGGGTGGAATAATTACTGAAGTCTATTAAGAGATAATTTTAATTCTTCAGATAACTCAAGGACATAAACCATTTTATCTGAAGACTATATAATTAGCATTTTTTTTACAAAAAGAAATCAATAATAAAATTGGAACAATTGCAAAATAAACTATTATTTCATGGATCATATCTCCAAGCAATTTAATCTGACAAAATTTGTTTCATGAGGAAACTTTTACATTTACAGTAACATGCTTTAAGTTAATCATCATCAATAAATCAAACATTTTTTTTTCATCACCAGCAACAAGAAGATAATTAGGTTTTAAAGGAAATATCAAATAAACTTTTTTTTACAAATCGTGAAACAACACAACTTATTATTTTAAAATAGAGAATAATAAACCCACTAATTAATAATGATTAATATTGTTAAAAGTAAATGTATACTATATGAATCTGCATAACTTTAAAGCATAGTATATACAAGACAAACTACATCAAGACAAGTTCTGGGTTTTTCCATTAACTAAAACAAGTAGAAAATACAGGAAAATACAGGATCTACACTAAAATATAGCTGTCAAACTCCTGGTCTGCAGGCTGGATGTGTCACGTGCTGGCCACATGCATGCCCGGTATAGTAAAGGGGAAAAAAGTCCCAATGCATCATGTGATGCTACTGTGACGACATGAGTTTGACACTCTGGTCTAACAAATTATAGCATAATCAATAATGAAAAAAAGGATATTAATGCAGTTGCAGACACAATAGTTTGCCAGTGTTTTATTAAGCAGTATCATATCTTTGTATAGTAGAAGCAAGTTTGGCAGATATAATTTCGTAAAATAAATAATTTTAATGTCAGTGTAAAATCAAGACATGTTTAGCTAAACCTAATTTAGCATATTGAGGGTGCGTGCAATTGATATCCAGACGTATGTGTGAATAGAATATCATATAATTTTCATACATTTCCAGGCAAAAGCTACAATGAATTTAGTTATATCAGGGTATGGAGTCTTAGGAACTAATCACCAATTTCAAAAGAAATGTAACTTCTCCCTTCTCAGTAAATAAATTTCTCATGAACCTGACAACTTGCAAATGGTATAAATGGGAAATGAAAAAATGATATTTCAAACAGTATGATAAATATGTTGTTTTTTTATAATCTTGCTCTTACATTATAGAACGTTGTGTTTTCAGCATAATAATATTGTTGATACTTTCTAAAATACTAAAATTTTAGGACAAATAGAAGCAAACTATATAACTGATATTCTTTTCATGAAAACATATAGTTGAATATAACCAAGGAAACATTTTAGAAAATGAACTCTCATGAGTCAAAATAGATATGCAATGCTTAAATCAGAAAATTGAATCATACCAATGTATTATTTATTTATTATTTATTTACATTTATAGGCTGTCCCATCTTATCACAAGGTAACTCTGGGTGGCTTATGATCATAAAAAGTAAAGTGCCAAAATTTAAGTACCATATCAATTAAAACCACATCATGTTTTTGTGTGTGTGTAGATCACAATGACTATAAAAGATCATACAACTGTTGAAAGGTTATAATCTTTTTGTAAACTTGTAGAAAACTGGACTCTTACAAAAGTGTACCTATATTTAATTCTCATGTAATTCCATGAATTATTACATTATTACATCTTGATGAGAATAGTAGCACCAATCTTTGAGAAGCCTTCTGTGTATCTGTATAGAGTCTAAGTTTGCCTTTGCCTTTAAGAAACACTTTGGAAGAAATAATAGATTGGTGCAATAAACTACAACAGTTGAAACATGCACAGATTATGCAAAAATAACTATCTAATAGTATACAGACAGTCCTCATTTTACAACTGGTCTCTTAGCAACTATTCAAAATTATGATGGACTCCCCCAAAAGGTACTTACAACTCTGATTTGAAATTCTGATAGTGGCCTCCCCCCACATTCAAGTATTTGCATTTTGAATACTTGGTAACCAACCTGTGTTTATGGCTGTTTGCAACAACCCATGGTCACATGAGCACAATGCTTACTGCAGACAATGATTTGCTTAACAACCATGGTATAATCACCTTTCAACTTTGTATCCTTCATAGATCTGTTAACTTGCAATATATACCAAAGAATCATCTTGTGTATGCCTTCTAAGTATGTATATGAAGGTAACGTACTAAAATACAGGAGGAAGAAGGGACTGCAGTGTTTCATTAAGACAGGGATCTCCAAACTTGGCAACTTTAAGATCTGTGGACTTCAACTCCCAGAATTCTGGGAGTTGAAGTCCACAAGTCTTAAAGTTGCTAAGTTTGGGGACCCCTGCATTAAGCAGATCAAGGTGAGAACAGATTTAAGTCTATTCATCAGGATTCTTAATTCAACTTCAGTAGGGTATTGTACTTTTGTGTGAGCTCTGAAACAGCATGTTTGTAGCTCTAGGCCAACAGCAAGTTGGAAGAACATCCATACTGTAGCAATTTCCTCTTATTCTTTTCATCCAAAATGACTGATAAAAAACAGCTTTAATATAATTAAAGATGTTGGTCCATTTCAGTCAGCTTTGACAATCCTGTTTCAGCGTGGAACGAAACATTTAAGTGATAGCTTGCCATTGAAATAGTTTCCTGTATGATTGAGATGGAATAACATAAAACTTTTGGGGTAGTTTGGGGAAGATATATGGTCATTATATTTTACTGGGACTTTTTAAAAAACTCAGCATAAATATTTATATTTACAGCTAGATTATGTGCCCACTGTTGTTCCAGATTAGGTTTCTTGGCTTGTCTGCACCTTTTTCTTAAATTGAATCTGTGGAAACCACTCTACCAAAAAGATAATCAGGATCCTAATCAGCCGCTTAATCTTAATTGGGTCCATGATAAAATAACTGTACCATTTTGAATAACAAGATTGCATGATTTTTATTTGTAGTTTGAGGAGATATATCACAGTTTCATAGAGACTGATATGAAAATTAAATAGCTATGGAACATTAATTTAACATCAGTTTTTTTCTTTGGCATGCAAGTGTTACAGACTGCCACAATAAGAGGATATTGTTTGTTTGGATATTGTTTGTTTTTAGAAAAAAAAAAGCAGAACGTTTGCTCACTTCATTTTATGTTTTTATACTTGCATTGATGCAAAATCCTTGGAATGCCTAATCTGTTCAGTTCTTAAAATAATCATGTGTGTTAGGAATGTAAGTCACCTAACAGTTAGTTGGGTTGGAAAATATATAAACCAGGATAGACATTTTAATACTGTCTCTTTAAGGGAATGTTAAAATTGTAATTGGGTGTGGTTCCTCAAACGGCCATAAAATGGAGCCAGAAATCTGGGTTGTTTTAGTTCCTGTCCTGTTGCTGAGAATGTTGCTGCTCCTTATTGACTATTGACTGATCATAGTTCTTCTTGGGTTTGATGTAAGTCTGTTACTGAACTGTTTTTGATACTGGATTTTGTTATTGGATTATCCATGGACTGAAAACTGACTGCTTCAACTGTGAATGACTTGGACTGCTTGTTTTGGACATTGCTTAAACGTTTATTGGAAGTTAAAACCTACATTTTACTATACAGTGTATCTCTGTGCTATGTGTGTGTTATTCTTCACTACTCTCACTATGTCTCCCTGTGTGCACTCATTCTCCAAACGAGGAATTACCTCAACAATGTGTGATATATGAAGTTCTTGATACAAACTATATGGTTCCAGTGCTCTGCTTCACAGAGGGAAAAGCACATAGCCATATTTTTTTGACGAAAGCATTATGATTTTGTTTCCTGGAACAGGAACATAGTCTTTTGCCAATTGATTGTATCTCTCTCTTTCCATTTTTGCCTATAACTTCAAAATACACATTTACCTAATATTAATAATAGCAACAGAATTTAATGGGACTTACTTTGAATGGGCATGCATAGGAATGGTCAGATGTCATATATTATTCTCTGAAAGGCCACAGACAACAAAACAATAATTTAACATGTGTGAAGTTATTTTTTTTCTTTTGAGGTAATCCCTCAGTTATTGTACAATTTCTACTATGGTTTTCATTTTTTTTTCTTTTGAAAAATGTTCCATCAATTTTCAACAATAAAATTCAGAGAGGGCTTTTTTCTTGAGGACATCATACAATTGTGAAGTAGTTGTAATCCAGCATTAACAAATAGGATTATAGAGTAAATTTTCTAGAAATAAAGGAATTCATATTTGGTCAGATAAACATTACATTTATTGTTGACAGCTGATAATACATTAATATATAATATTTATTTTTATAATGTATAAAGAAGTGCATTTTGGAAACACACCATCTAAAACCCAATTGTATTCGTTAAATAGTGGAATATTTACTATTAAAAGAATTGATTGATTGTTATGCATAAAGCAAAATGCTATTCTTGATTTCAATTTTGTAGGCAGCATCCTTGACTGTGGACTCTTGCTCTGATGAACAGGAACCAGGCTATTGCACTGTTAGCAATGTGGCTGTGTCTAGTGATTGGTAAAGATAATTTCATTTCATTTTTCACTATTAGGAACTTTGATCTTATAGACTCTGATCCACAAGAGATAAAAGACTGTTTTGAATAAGTTATTGGACAAAGCAAACTGCCATCTTTTCTCCACTCCCTTCTTTTAGAAATGACTAGAGCGAATATCTGTCATGAAAATGTCAAAGGTAGTCCTCGATGTATGACCATTTGTTTAGCAAAGTTTCTGAAGTTGTTAACATGACTGCAATTTAGGCATTTGGCAATGGCATGCATTTATGAATGTTGCAGTGTCTAGGGTCATTTGATGTCCATTTGTGATCTTTCTAGCTGCTTCTGACAAAGTCAGTGCAGGAAACTGGATTTACTTAATGAGTAAGTTATTTGCTTAATAATTGCAGCAAAAACAGTTTGTAAATCAGGTGCAGTCACAAACTTGTAATGCAGTCATTGGATCAATAACTACATTATTTAGCAACAGAAGTTCATAATTTGTGATTATAATTTGAGGACTATACTGTCAAGCTCTGTGATGAGTACAAAATTTTGTCATAACAGCTACTTAAATAGATTAAATGTATGCATAATTAACCAATTTCTGCATTACTAGTTTGAACTAGCAGTATTATTGTTATACATAATCTAAATCAATACTCAATGATAGACTAATCATTAAGCATTACTACAAATTATGACCACTAGGTGCTTGGTAGGTATAAAATATAATTAAAAATAATTAACAAGTATACATAATTTTACTCATAAGAAAAGTGAATTTGTAAAGCAACAGATAAGGATATTTTTAAAAAGTCTGTTTAAAGATGAAACATGAATAGTTCAATAGCCATTTAGAGGCAGAAGTTCATATTGGAGTGAATAAAGGTCAGCAGGAAGAGAGGCTACACTTTTAACAGAAGTGTGTCCTAAGGCATGTGACAATTACAAAGTCACAGAACCGTGAACAGAGTTTAGAGACACCCCTGAATACAATGTCATTTAGTTTTCTTCCCAATAATGTCCAACATTTGCTGTAGTTTCATATTCTGAGTATCAGAACAATTTTTTCTATTCCAATTTGCTTTTATATTATGGCAAATCTTTGAAAAATATACATGAAAATTTATGATGAAAAAAATTGTGCTTTGTTGAACTAACAGATGCTGGATTTTCAAAAGAAATCTGAATCTGTGGAATCTAGATTGATGCGGTATAATACCTTGACATAATTTCTATTTTCAAAAATGTTAACATATATACTAAACAATGATAGTCTCAAAATGACTCTGCATTGCAACAACATAATTGTGTGATTTACACAAATACATACTGGTATTTATTTTTAAAAGCAATATATATGATTAAATGCATAAGAAAAGATATTTATGACAATGTACACAAAATGGCTTGCGGTCATTGTCATTAATGGCTTGAATTAAATTAACTATAGATAAACCAATTAAAATTAAACATGTTAAAAATGATTTACTTGCATTCCTCTTTCAAAACGAATTTCATAGTTGACTTGCAGCATAGTTGACTCACCAAGAATCAAAATTTGGAAAAGAGAGTGGTATTAGTAAAAGATTTGTTGTAATTACTATTCAGTGTCAAAATTCAATAAAAATTTAAAATGAAATGTACATGTATAAAATGTAACATTTATGTTGACTAAAATTTTATTGCAGTACAGCTTTCTTTCTACATAAATATACAGAGAAAATTTTTGGTTTGATTTAAATATTTTTTTTGTAAATGATACTTTTGTCACAAAAATTACAAATTTGCTTATGTATAATGGTTAATTACTCTATTTTCATTGATTATTTCATTTTCCTCATTTCATAGGACCTTAGATGTACAGCCAAACAGAGTAACCATTGGAGGTATCAAATCTCTAGACCAAGTCCTTCAAAGAAAAGGACAGGTGGAAAGCCATGATTTTGTGGGTTGCATAATGGAATTTGCAGTCAATGGACGTCCCTTAGAACCAAGCCAAGCATTGTCAGCTGAAGGCATCTTAGATCAGTATGTCATTCTTTGATAAGTATTAAAAAAACCCAGATTTTAGTTACGCTTTTTATAATTGTTGTAAATTGTAATTTTATTGTGCTATAAATCAGAAGTGAGTAATAATGGACTTCACACTGTTTATAGTCTCCCTCCTTTTTTTGCATTTATTTCTATAACTTCACTGTCAGATACCAGACTAGATGCCCTATCTATTGTTCATTATTTTTGTTTCTATTTAATTTTAGACCCATTTTTTTCACCATGTTCCTTGATTTTAATTACAAGAGCTTCAAGAACATTTACACTTCTAGCATAGCTTATTAATGTTTCTTGCTCCAATTTTTTAAACCACTCATTTTTGTTCTACACAGCTTCCCTCAATATACATTCAAGATATAGGATGAACAAATAAGAAAAAATATATAAATAATGTACCTAGGGAAATCTTCAGTTCAAATGTATATATCACACACTTTTGTTAGAAAACAGAGAACATATGTGGTATTCTGATCTGCATAAAAATATGGGATAGGTGGGTGTATATATATGTGGCTCAATTGCAATTAAATTACTTTGTTTATTTAGGTGTCCTAGACTGGAAGGAACATGTGCTATTAACCCTTGTCAACATGGTGGCACATGTGTGGATCATTGGTCATGGCAACAGTGTATTTGTAAAGAAGGACTGACAGGAAAGCACTGTGAAAAATGTAAATATAAAATTTATTTCTTTTTTCTGATAATTGGCATTTTGATTTTATGTATGGAATGAGTACATAATGATTGGAAGGTTAAATATTATACAAGTAACCAACATATTTTAAAAAAAAAACAATGTACAGTTGCAGATATTTTATCTCTTTTATCTAGTTTTTTTATCCAAGTGCTTAACCTGATTATACTACATAAAATAAGATAAACTGTTATGCAATGAAACATAATTATATAATCTATTTTTCTTTATTTTAAAAAGTAAAAAAAAAGATTTTTCTTTTTTGTAACTGCATAGAAACATTATTTTCTGCATAGCTGAATTGTCTTTAAAATAATATCTATAATTTTTCATCAGGAAAAGGGTGGAATGCAAACTGTAGATGACAAGAATTTACTAATGAAATATCTGTATTTATTTTAGATCTTACAGCTGACACTGCCTTGTCCTTAGGGGGCAAAGGACGTCTTGACTATCATCTGAGGCAAAATAGAAAATGGGAATATATGATGAGATATTACATTGGAAATGCCATTATAGAGCCTAGAAATATGGATAGTCTGGAAGTTAAATTCCGGACCAGGAGTAAAAGTGGAGTATTAATCCATATTCAGGAAAACAGCAACTATACTACTGTGAAGGTAAATAGACTTGATTAGGCAGCTGGCTATGTAATGTTCTTTGTGTATTCTAAATTCATTCTAATTATTTTAGCTTAGAAATACCAGAACGTTGACTAGTGCTGGGCAGAGCTCCAGCTACTAAAACAGTTGAATGATTTGGCTTCTAATCAGTTTAGTCTTGACTCCATGTGCTAGGTATTTGAATGGCAGTTGGAACAATGTTAGACACATATATTCTTAATGAAACATTGCACGCTACAGTTTTAAAAAACATTTTCTTTTATTAAGTTTTCTTCCTTATTCAGATTCCTATAAAAACATCATGTTCAAATTTGGAATCTTTTAAGCATACCAACACCGAAGTCAAATTTCATATTGAACTTTGCCTTCAATAAAAGCATTTATATTGAATTCTAGTTAACCATCTATATCAATACACTGTAAAATGAATTGATGATTGATTAACAAGAGAAAGCAACGGATTCAGTCCTTAGTAATGGCTTCAGTCATATTTGTACCATATCTTTAAATTGTTCCTGCTGTGTGTTCAGATCACCTCTAAGCTAGTAAAAAAAGAAAAAGAAGACATTTGGCAATACTTTGCAAGAGAATTAGCATGTCTTCCTGTAGAAATCTCATTTCTACATAAAACTGAAATAAGCTGTCCATTCTGACTTATTTACATATTAGCTATCTCTGGAATGCAAAATTACTTTATATGCTTTTTGGTTCACTTTTATAATGAACGATGGAAGAGAATAATGTAATAACACTTTTCTTGTAAACAGAAGCTTACTGGTTTAAAAAACAGCAAATTTTTAAAATTATTTGATTTGGCCAAGGTACATATTTTTCCTTGTGCATCTCTCTCTCTCTCTCTCTCTCTCTCTCTCTCTCTCTCTCTCTCCCTCCCTCCCTCCCTCCCTCCTTCCCTCCCTCCCTGCCTTCCTCCCCCTCCCTCATCCCCCCTGTTTTAGTGTTCAGTGCACCATTTCATCATTTTGTTTAATTTTGTTTAATTTTCCAGACACTCAACAAAGAAAAGTTTTTAAAGTGTCTTTAAAAATGATGAAATGAGAATGCACAAAGGCCTTGTGGAACACATACCAATGTTTTTAGGGATCTTCATGTTCATGATGAGAAGTGCTAAAGACAGTTTTAAAATTTGTATAATGTTCTACATATGGATTCACATTTCTGTGGAAACAATATTTCTTCATAAATCTGAAATCAATACAATTTTGAGTAATAGCTATTACTGTACATATTTATAGAATGCATAATTACTTGAATTGCATAATGTTTGAGGAAAAATTGGAGTAGTTTGTCCTGCAGTGACTTATGTGATCACACTGAAAATTGCTGTAGCACTTAAACCATTGCACATACAGTCTATAGCAGGGCTGTCAAATTCTTGGCCTGTGGGCCGGATGCATCACACGCTGGCCACGCCCACACCTGGTTTAGCAAAGGGGGGGAAAGTCCCAATATGTCACGTGACACCACCGTGACAATGTGAGTTTGATATCTCTGGTCTGTAGGTGTTTAAATCAACATCATAAACTTCTACTTCTTAAACATTTCTCTATTTTTTAAACTGCAGATAAAAAATGGCAAAGTGCAGTATATTTCTGATGCTGGAGTAGGTGGAAAGGTGGAAAGAAGTATTCCTGAAGCTTATGTTTCTGATGGTCACTGGCATCTTCTGTTAATTGAAAAGAATGGTACATCCACAATAATCACTGTTGACAAGATGTATAGTAGAGACATTCTACATGTCACACAAGATTTTGGAGGACTAAATGTCTTGACAATTTCTCTTGGTGGTATCCCAATTAACCAGCTGTCTAGAAGCAGTGAACCAGGTAAGATGAAAAATAATAACATGAATGGTCAATCACAGATAAGGAATATAGTAATAATACAAACACAGAACCAGTAAATACAAGGCTATCTTAATTTAAAATAGCAGAGAGACTGAACACACTTCCAAAGTTTCATAGTCCATTTATGCATTATATAAGACTCCTAGTCTTTGCAGAATCTCTGTGGAAATTGAAATCCTGAAATGCACTGTTTCTGAATTTCATCATAACGATGTAACAGAAATAATTTAAACTTCTTATAGATCAAAAAAATGGGCAGAATTTATCCATTACTTTTTTTAGTTTTATAATGATGTAGAATAGTCAATAATGCACAGTCTTTTCAGCAACCATCTTCTCATAACTCATTTAACCAGAAGTATACATTGTAATTTTTAATTAGCATATATTAGTATAGTTGTTTAATCTTTTTTACTATGCTAAAACAGCTTATTTATTATTATATTTTTCCTTGTTTATTTTTAAATATATAGAAGAATTATTCAGATACTAAGGCTAACAAAACTGTATAGATGATGTTTTAGATTTATTTATATTAAAATTGTCTATTTTAAGAATTTTTACCATATGAGGAATTCGTTGTAATTTTATTCTTCTTTTTCACTGGGTACAATATGAATAATTAAATAAACAAGAACCTCAATTCTTATAAGGTGTGATGTGAATAAAAACAACTTTCCCTCTAACACTGGATATTTTAAAGATAACAGATTGGACAACCATTTGTCTGAAATGGTGCAGGGTAGTGATCGCCAACCCGTGGGCCACAGCCCACTGGTGGGCCGTGAGAAAATTTTGGTGGGCTGCAGAAAAATCTCACCCCTAGAGCACCCCCACAAAGCAATTAATCCAGGCTTCACAGAAACACAAGGCTGAAACACCCACATGGCCTGCAGGAACCCTCCTGCCCACTCACTTCTTACCCGGTAAACTTGCCTGGTAAATTGCTATTTTTCCTTTTTCCAACCATCATCTGTTCTGTTGTGCCAGGAGATTTAGATTAGCTAGGAAGCAGGAAATAGTTGGATTTCTTGCTTTCTAGCTAGTCTTTAGATGTTCCGCTCAGCACAGCCAACCTCCCTTAGGACTGAAGGTTTGTTTGCAAGCAAATTCAATGCAGACTCACAGCAAACAGATTTGAGAGACTGAGCTAGCCGATGGCAGATCGATAGATCACTGAATGATTCTGTGAGCAACTCAATCTGTCTTCCTGCTTTGCCTGATTTTGGGTAAAAGTTGCTCTTTTTTATAAAAAATTCAATATTTACATGCATGGTGTGTTGTGAGTTAATTTTGTGAATTGGCTTGCAAGCAAATTTTATGTGACAGACTGAGCTAGCCAATGGCAGATAGATAGATCTCTGAATGAATCTGTGATTCTGTGAGCAACTCAATCTGCCTGCTTTGCCTGATTTTGAGTAAAAGTTGCTCTTTTTTAATAAAAATTCAATATTTATATAAATATCTATAATATTTACATACAAGCCATGCCCAATCAGTCACATGACCACCAAGCCACACCCACAAATTAGCCCACAAAACCGGTTAGTGGTCCCCAGGATCTAAAATTATGAGTTTGGTGGTCCCTTAGGTCCAAAAGGTTAGCGCCTCCTGGTGTAGGGTTTCCTGCAGGGAGCTGGACAAGAAGTCCTCCATGGTCCCTTCCAACCCTTTTATTCTATACACATGTATTGATTAATCAAATTATAATTACTACTTTAACAGGCAATAAGGCTGTGGGATATTATTTTCAGTGTAATGGGTACTCCATGTTTAAAAGCTACAGAAACCTGCCTTGTGGATTCCATTTTTATACCATGTTGCCTTAATATTGAATTGCACTTCATATCTCATGCCAAAGATTTATAGAAAGGTATAACTGCATGAACTTGTATGTTCATAAATATCAGCAGAACAAATTAAGCAAAAGTTACAATTCAAGATATATACAGAAGAAAAACGAAGAAAAATGTTCTAGAGAATTTTCCTACTGCACAGTAAATATTACTTAGTATCCATCTCTTTAGACCACATTGCAAATCCCTAAAGTTCTTTGAAATACTTCTGAAACTTAGAAATATTATTCTTCATTTCAATCACAATTCAATCTTCAATTGAATGCCTTCAATAAAATAAACAGTATTCTTTACTAGTTTTATGCAGACTTAATAATACATGGCAGACATTGATTCAGTCGATGACATGTATCATCTATGTTCAGAAAGATTTAAAAAACATATAATACAATATTGTTTAATCTTCATGTCATATATGTGCATATATTACATAGTTTGTTGGGAAATTTAATAATCAATTGTATGTAGCTGTCATTGTGGACACTTCTATACAAGAACAGTTTTTTTCCCGAAAGCCATCACTCTGCTAAACAAATAATTCCCTCAACACTGTTCAACTATTTACAAAGTGTGCACTACTATTACTGTTAATCTTCTCATCACTCCTTATCACCCATCCCCTCCCACTTGTAACTTTGTCACTTGTATCCTTACGATTTATATTGACTGTTTCCTAGTATGATTTGATTATTGGGACCAGAGTAGGACACCTTTCTGCCAAAGTATATTCCCAGTTCAGTTCAGCTTCCTTTGCTTAACCTGTATTAGTGTTTGAGATAAAGACTACTCCATTTGGGTTGGCTAGTTGTGAGCTAATTAATTATATTTAGCCCTGTAGGCTCGCCAATCACAAAAGGCAACAGCAACAGCATAGCTTTATTATTTAAGTCCTAACATAATATGTACACCTGGTCACAAAGCCCCAGGTCACAGACTACTTCCAGCCTTGAGCCATTTAGAACAGAGCTGTGGATGTGGCAGGTGATGTGTGTACACATGCATCCCACTAGCACAAACAGTGGGGCAGTGTGTGTGCACATGCATCATTTGCACGAGCTGCTTGTGTAGTTGAAGCTGCACACACACATGCTTGTCAAAAATTCGTACAGAACCACCACCTCCTGCTCTCTGCCAAGCCAAAAAGTTTGGGGAACTCTGATCTAATGGGTATATCTTTAATACAATTCCAGTACAAACCATTAGACATATTCATGGCTGATCAGAATGAGGCAGGTCAAAACCAGGTGATTTGGTAAAATGATCACTAATGGCAAGCCACAAGAAGGAAACTTGAATCATTCCTTTTGTCAGGCATTGCCAGATTTATACTGAGTAGATGTTAAATGAGTAGCTGTTTTCCATTATGACCAATGGGATTTCAATCTTGTACAGTATCCTGGTGAATAGGGAGGGTTTCTTACTAAACCAAAGAGAAATATCAGTCTTAACTGAAGCCACTAGGAATGTGTTCTCTTCTATCATGTAAAAAATCAAGTATCAAGAAATACACCACAGACTAGCACTGGGAAGAGAAGCAAAAAGGGGGCTTGGAAAAGCAATTCAGATGCTGTGATTATATCTGCAAAGATCAGTTGATGCAGGCTGGGGTTTCCCTCAGACACTGTATATAAAAGTGAATCTACAATTCTCACTACAAGAATAAAGACCAGACTCACATGATCATACTTTGAAAGACTTAGCTTTGTAAAAATGGCTATAACATTGGGAAAGGACAAAAGGAAGAAAAAAAAAGGATAGTTAGCAGTAAAATGGATGAATCCAGTTATAGCAATGATGGGTGCATTGCTGGAAGATATGAAGGGCCAGGCTTGGAACACATCATCCTGAGAAAATCTAATTTTGTGGTCCCAAATGATGGCCACAAAAATGACTTGAAGGCCCATAATTATCATTACAGGAAAGGGTAAGCACAGAAAGTCAATTTAGAATAACAAATCTAAAAGAATTGTGTAACTTTACTATCTTCATTGGTTCACACTTTCACTGCAAATAGTGTTTATTTTCCCATGATCCTTGACCTCACATAATTTACAACTTGTGGGATGGGCAGAAAACCATTCCTGTATCATTATACAGTAGAACCAGGATGAATGGGCTACCACTATCTTAGATGAACTACAACAGATTCCAAGACATGAAATATATGTTTGTCTACACAACACAGCTACTTATGTTTAGATGATGCTGGAATCCTGTAGGATTATGATTCTGCATGCTTCTTAAGTTCTCACCCACACAGACATTCATCAACTACATCAATAAAACACAATTACTCACATTACTTTTCTTGGTTTAATATGCCCATATTTAAGAAAAATAAGTTTTATAATTTCAAATTTTCTGCCCTTTTCTACTGCCCTTGATTAAAATAAGCAACTCTGTAAGGATATTCATCCATTGCTCTGTTTGCACAGAAATTAAAGCTGATGGAAGTAAGATGCTAGAGGATTTAGCAATAGCACTAGACTTATATCCTGCTGCAGCCCTCCCTAACCAGTTTACAGAGTCAGCATATTGCCCCCAACAATCTGGATCTACATTTGACTAACCTCGGAAAGATGGAAGGCTGAGTCAACCTTGAGCGGGTGAGGATTGAACTCCTGGCAGTCAGCAGAATTAGCCTGCACTAACCACTATACTACCAGGGCTCCTGGTTCATTTAAATTGGGATACAGCTAATTGAAGGGAAATCAACAGCTGAACTGAAGAACTGAATTATGGGCTTTCCCCCCCTCATGTTATGTACTGCTCAGCAGAATTCTGACCAGAATTTTTCAAATTCCAAATAATGTACTTTATTACAAATTTACTGTCTTTTTGGAAGAGAACAGGTTTTTTTTCTTTTCTGTTCTCAGAAACATTTTCTTCAGATTCAACTTTTTCACAAAGTGTCCATTCATCAGAAAGGACACCTACAAAATAATGTTTACTTTTCAGTCCTAAAAAGAGTTTAATTATTCAGTGACATTGTATTCACACACAATGTATGTAAGTTATTATTGTTGTTCCTTCAAGTCAGTCTTGACCCTGGTAAATGTCTGGACAAGTCCCTGAAGTTTTCCTGGCACCACTTTTGCAAACAATTTGCCATTACCATTTTCCTAAAGTTGGCAGAAAATGACTGATGCAAAGTCGTGCAACTATCTTCTGTGCCTAAGTTACCCCACTGTCTTTAATCATTTACAGTACACCAATGTGACATACTGCATTACAAGAGCTTTAAATGAATTTTCATTCTTTTATTGCTTCTATGTACAATTGGATGCATAGGCTATCCAGTGTTCATTCAAGACAAATGGTTTAAAAACATTATCAAAAACTAAGGATCAATATGACTGGTACTTACTAAATAATAATTATTAATTATTTGTCTCAAACTGGTTTTTGTCCATTAAACATTGCCAAATAATTGTCCCAAAAATGAGCTTGTGAACAAAATTGCTTGTCTCATTTCAAGCTACAAACGAGAGAATTAATAAATAGGAAGTATATGCTTGGATTACTTTTTTCATTTTTATTGTAGCTAAGTTAAAACCAAAAAAAAAAAATCTTAGAAAAATAATGCATGTGATTTGAAGAATCAGGAAGGTGGTATTTTTCTTTCAAACCTGATATAGTTGCTTTAATACAATGGTGGAGCATGGTGGCTCACGTGGTTAGGATACTGGGTTGGAGGTTAGCAAGCCTACATTTGAGATGCAAGTGCTTCTATATGGCAGGGTGAAGTCTCATCATCCAGTCAAGCTCCTTAATAGAAACATGAAAGGAGCCACCATGCACATCCATGGGGCAATGGTGATATCACCAACTAATTCTTTCAATCAGGAATCACCTTAAAAGGTGTGTATGACACCAACAGGATGGGGATACAATAATAATCATCCAAATGCATTCTAATCCCTAAATGTAAAAGAAAAAATCGGATCCCAGCTATGAAACCAGCTGGGTGATTTGGGGCCTTTCTCAGTCCAATTCGCCTTACAGAGTTGTTGTGAGGAACACAGTAGGAGGGAAGTATGTGGGATATGTTCATCACCTGGAGTTATTTGCAAAATAATAAAGGCATGATACAAACAAATAGAAAAAAAAGAGCATCCACAGTTTAATGAGTTTTTTCCCCATTTTATTCTGTTTGTAAATGTAAACCAGACCTATGGCCTGTTGGGTCATAATTCCAGAGATATTTCTTTACCGGGTTTCTCAATGCCTTCATAAGAGCTTCTAATGTAACTCTCTTCAGAGATGCATCTGCCTTGAAAATAACCAATGTTGAACTATATAGTGCAGGTAGTCCTCGACTTACTCTTGCCACATTTGTTAAGCGAATCACTGCAGTTGTTAATTTAATAAGATAGTTGTTAATTGAATGTGGTTTCTCCATTGACTTTGCCTGTCAGAAGGTCTCAAAAGATGATCACGTAACCCTGGGACACTGCAATTGTCATAAATGTGAGTCAATTACCAAGCATCTGAATGTAGAATGGGTGAACATGGGGATGCTGCAAAGGTCATAGGTGTGAAAAATGGTCATGACTCATCTTTTTCAGTGCCATTGTAAATTTGAATGGTCACTAAATGAACTGTTGTAAGTCAAGGAGATCAGTACAGGAAGGGTTTTATGACATTTTATATTATGTCATAAACTAATTTCTGACAAATGTTTAGGCCATAAAATGTTTTATAAAATTTGCCAAATATCAATTCTATAGGAGTTATGGGTTTCGGATTTTTGATGCATTCTGTAACACAACCCATTTGAGATACTTTGCTTCAAACTGTTTACCCTATGGTGCATTGTTTTGGCCATTAATGGTAACAGGAATCAGACTTTTAATTGTATATAGATTAAAAATAATTTTTGAGAGAGTGTAAATGTTTTTTGGATGGTACAAGATGCTGAGGGATCTACACTACTTATTTATTTATTTATTTGTTTATTATTTATTTATTTATTATATCCTGTTTTTATGTTTTGTATAAATAACTCAAAGTGGCAAACATACCTAATCTTATTTCTGCCTCCTGTTTTGGGGTTGGGCTGAGAGAGACAGATTGGCCCAATGCCACTTAGCTGGTTTTCATGGTTAAGGAAGGACTAGAACTCACTGTCTAGTTTCTAGCCTGGTGCCTTGACATAAGCCTTGATTATGCTATGTTACTGACTTTCTGTAAGTGCTAAATGTTCAAATTTGGTAGTGATTAAAGTTGTTCTGATCCCTACCTAATTGACATAAATAAAGAGCCAGTTTGGTTTAGTGGTTATGGCACCAGGCAAAAAATGGTAGACTTCAAGTCCTACTTTAGCCACAAAAGCCACAAAATCCAGCAGGGTATCTTCAGGCCAATCTCTCTCTCAGCCTAAGCCACCTCATAGAGTTTTTGTTGTAGAAAAAACAGGAAAACAATTATATCTTGGATATTTGCCACCTTGAGTTATGTGAGAAAATAATAAAGGTAGGAAATAAAGTTTATTTGACACATAGTAGGTTTATTTTTTTTTAGGATGTGACATATCAATCCCATTTGATGATTATTGCATTATAAGGTTATTTTTATCCATTAGATTGCCAATTACAATTTTTAAATTGGTTAAACTGCAACTTTCAAATCTATTTTTTTCTATTTTCTTAGATTTTGATGGATGCGTTGCCTTCTTGAAATATGGTGAAGAAAGCCTTCCCTTCACAGGACAACATAGCCTTGCTACCATATCTAAATCAGATTCCTCTGTGAAGATTGGCTGTCGTGGTCCCAACATTTGTGCCAGCAATCCTTGTAGAGGAGAACTAATGTGCATTAACCAGTGGTATACGTATGAATGTGTTCATCCTGGAGCTTGTGCATCTAACCCCTGTCAGAATGGAGGTACTTGTGAACCTGATGAAAGAGCTGGATTTATTTGCAGTTGTCCAGAATCACACACTGGAGCAACATGTGAAATACTAGTTGTGTGCCTTGGTGTCATATGTGCCCAGGGACATGTATGCAAGGCAGGAATAAATGGTGCCTATGTATGTATCCCTCAGCTCTATCCAGCTGAACTTTCTTTACCACTGTGGGCTGTTCCAGCCATAGTGTGCAGCTGTGCTACTTTGTTGGCATTGCTTGTGCTTAGCTTGATCCTGTGCAATCAGTGCAAAGGAAAGAAGGCAAAAGTTCCAAAAGAGGAGAAGAAAACAAAGGAAAAGAAAAAGAAGGGCAGTGAGAACGATGCGTTTGATGATCCTGATAATATCCCACCCTATGGTGATGATATGACCATCCGGAAGCAACCTGAAGGAAACCCAAAACCTGACATAATTGAAAGAGAAAATCCTTATCTCATATTTGATGAAACAGATATATCACACAACACAGAGACTATACCCAGTGCTCCTCTAGCTTCCCCAGAAGCAGAGATAGAACACTATGACATTGATAATGCAAGCAGTATAGCTCCTTCAGATGCAGACATCATTCAGCATTATAAGCAGTTCCGAAGTCATACTCCTAAATTTTCCATTCAGAGGCATAGTCCATTAGGATTTGCCAGACAGTCACCTATGCCCTTGGGAGCAAGTAGCTTAACCTACCAGCCTTCATATAGTCAAGGTCTAAGGACAACTTCACTAAATCATTCTGCTTGCCCTACACCAAACCATCTTTCTCGTCATAGTCCTGCTCCATTCTCCAAAGCATCCACTTTCTACAGAAATAGTCCAGCAAGGGAAATGCATCTTTCTATAAGAGAAGGGAGCCCTTTAGAAATGCACAATGATGTCTGCCAAACTGCTATCTTTAATTATCCCAGTAGACTAGGGAGAAGAAGCAAAAGTCCCCAAATGATGACCGGTCATAGTTCGAGGCCTGGAAGTCGCTTAAAGCAACCAATAGGACAAATTTCTCTCGAAAGTGGTCCTCCTGTAGGGCTTTCCATTGAAGAGGTAGAAAGACTTAACACTCCACGCCCTAGAAATCCGAGCATCTGCAGTGCTGATCATGGAAGATCTTCTTCTGAGGAAGACTGCAGAAGGCCTCTGTCAAGAACAAGAAATCCAGCTGATGGTATTCCAGCTCCAGAATCATCATCTGACAGTGATTCCCATGACTCTTTTACATGTTCTGAGATGGAGTATGATCGAGAAAAACCCATGGTGTATACTTCAAGAATGCCCAAACTTTCTCAAGTTAATGAATCAGATGCTGATGATGAAGACAATTATGGTGCTAGACTTAAGCCTAGGAGATATCCAGGCCGCAGAGGAGAAGGTGGTGGTCCTGTGGGTGCACAAGCACCTGCACCTGCATCCAGCATTAATGATACTTCCCCTTTAAAACTTGGACCACAAGGAGGGAACTTCAACTGGGACAACCTTTTGAACTGGGGCCCTGGATTTGGGCATTATGTAGATGTTTTTAAAGATTTAGCATCTCTTCCAGAAAAGACAGGAACAAATGTAAGTGAGGAGTGCAGAAATGGTACAACGCAACCAAAAGATGGAGAAGCTGAACAGTATGTATAGAACTTCGTACTGACATTATCAAAATACAAGTACATAAAATACTCAAGACATTGTGTCAGTGTAGATAAAAAAGGACACACTTTGTTTTAGCCAGGGCCAGTGGTTAGACACATTTAAAATAATCACAACTATGCTGCTGAGAAGGACAAATACTTGTTGTTGTTGTTTTATTTAATTACAGTTGGTTAAATTTGTTTCTATTGCATGCATTATATTTTCAAGCAAGATATCTTATATTTGGCATCTGGATCTTTATTCTTTATTTCTTGTTTGGTTTGTGATTTTTAAGTTAAGAATGATTAGCTCTAAAGATGATTGCAAAATGTTTTGTTGTGAGGGGCGTGTTTGTACACAAGTTGAATATGTTGTTTTGAAATGTAAAAATATCAACTATGTTGATTTGTTGAGAGAAGCAATTTTGCAGATGATGAATGATGGAATGAAATTATTGTATTCTTCCTGAAACTATATTTCCTATCCCTCGGTTGCTCAAATATGAATATTTCAAAGAATGATAAGCTTAAGCTTATTATTGATCTATGTTCAAGGGGTCCTGTTAACCAGTTCAAGCTCATGAGCACTTTAGGATTTCATTATTTTTGACAAGGATGTGTGAGAACTTCTGAATGATTTTTTTTCCTTGTTTCCCCAAATTGCAGTATTTTTAGCTTGTATGGAAACTGATATATAGTACATTATAAAATTGAACAAACAACAGAGTTTATCGAACAGATAATGTGGTTGAATGCAAAGTGAGAATAGAAAACTGAGCTCTTTTGGTTCCAAATTAATACCAACTTTGGCTTGACAAACCACCCTATTGATATTTCAATTCTGTCATCTGGACAAATGAGAAGATACTATAAGTAATAAAAATGATGACTCTAACTCACAGGAGGCATAAGTATTAAAAAGGCATATAGCACTATACTAAGTATTATTATGGTTATTATTCTAAGCACTGCTTCCTGCAGGATCTTTGAGTGATCTTTTTGTTACACTGCAGAGTATTATATGATAGAAGAATTTGAAATAAACATATTTATTAAAAGTATAAGTTGTTGCACTCTTGGAACAGGAGACCAGTTTTAAAAATGTACTCATAGTGCAGCCATAGAAGTGTCTACTCAAGATCAAGTTCCATCAAATTCAGCATGTATAAATTTGAAATCTGGGTTGTAATTTCACTTCCTATCCTGGGGGTGGGGGTGGGGTGGGGTTAAATTATCTGAACTTAATGAGATTTTTGAGTAGCTGTGTATGATTGCCCTATTAGTAATGCAATACAGATACTCTAGTTTGGAAGATATACATGTGGAATCAGCTGTGAACAGCAGAAATAACTTTTATCTTTAAAATGCTTTGTGAAAATATGATAGCACAGTCTCTATCTGATGCTATTTTATGTATTTTAAAGACAAAAGCAGAAAGTTATGAATATTTGCATGCAACATTCTTTATTTCTATGATACATATATGTATTTTGCTCAGGTATTCATAACTGAGTATGAAGTTTATCTTAACAAGTTTATTCTAAGAATTGATCATGTAATAAGGGGAATCCTAAATGTCACTTATAAAAGATAATATTTTTAAACATCTCTGTTTTAAATTTGGGGGATGTATACAATGCCCTTATGTTTCCATGAAGCTTCTATTATACTGTGTAAAAAATGTGAGTTTTTTGTGGAGTGGGTTGTTTCTTGTTAATATTTTTCTTCGTTTCTTTCTTTCTGCCTGTTTCTTAATCTAAATTCTGTTTTTGGTATCAGCGTTTTCCTATACAGAATAGTTTTCTTGCTTTCAGGAAAAGTAAGAAAAATACTCTTTTTTACATTTGTTACTTCTGTAACATTCATTTTTTCACATTTTGATAAAGTTGTAACAGACCATATGCTTTCTAAGTGTACAATGCCAATAATAGAATTAAAATATTTATTTAAAATATATTGTGTGCAGTAATGGAAACAAGTGCTAATGCAATTTTACAATGCAAATATGGGACCTCTAGCATATTTAAAGAGCACTAAATTGTCATTTTGGCTAAACACCCAGAGACTTCTAGTTCTAATAACATGAGCTTCAGCCAATCACTGTCAGTCCTACAAAGAAGACAATGGAAAACCTTTGGGAAATCATGCCAATAAAACTGGAGGGACTAGTCCAGCAGTCACCAGGGAACAAGATTGACTCCAAGGCACCCAAAAATAAAATTTAGAAAGCCCAGAGAAGAATTCCAGACAGTCGGCTATTATCCACTCATTAGTGCAACATTTACATGCAAAGAATATTGGTGAATAGAAAGCAACTTTATATATACCACATTCTGGACCAATATCATGAACTGTGATGAGTCACCTGAAGGTACAAGAAATATATAAACTTTGAGCTGGACAAAACCATATCCTTTAAGTGAAAATTTCCAGTGGAAAGTAGAAAAGCAACCTTTCTTTGGATTCAGTCTAAATTATTTGAACATCTATCTAGTAGTTGAAATAATCTTTCAATAATATTAATGCATCAGATAAACCAATAGCAAATTTCTATCATATTTCTTAGCTGTGTCATCTGATATACAGTCATGTGAAAAAGAAAGTACACCCTCTTTGAGTTCTATGGTTTTACGTATGGCTTTATAAGAATCATTAGCAGGTAAATCATTAAAAGTAGGTAAATAAAATCTCAGATGAACAACAACATATGACATATTAAACCATGTCACCATTTATTTTACAAAAAGGATCTGCTAAGGATCAGATGATTTTTTTTCTATGTCCTGACACATAAAACCCTAGAACTCAAAAAGAGTGTACTTTCTTTTTCACATTACTGTATATGGTATATTGTAGTATACATTCATCACCAGTCCTGTTCAACTGCCTGACAAATAATGTGGCATCAGACAATGAGTCTAAACCCAAATTGTGATGTGTCATCTAATATAAATCCTGTTATCATGGTTGACCAGATGCAAGGTACTTGGTAGAACTCCTGTTGATGGTACATATCATTTTTATTTATCGATTCCTACTCAACCTTACTGGATCTAAAATTTAGTATTTATTTAGAACAAACCTTTAGTACATTTCTGGTGAAAGACTGTGCCTGCATAGAGTTTATACCACTAGCTGTAACAAATATTTGGCTAGCCAATGAATCTGCACCTGGTTTTTGAAAAGTTCAGGCATTTAGTGATTGTCAACTTCCTATATCTGACAGTATATAGTAGTGGATAAATTAAACAGCAGGATATTATATATTCTGGTAATAATTTATAAAGAAAAATATCTTATCAGGATGTTGTTGAACATTACTATGTCATTGAAAGCTGGTGAGACAAAACAGTGTGCAGTTACTGTATTTCTAAGTTTCTATGAAATGGTGGATAGATTAACTGATCTATTTGCCTGGGACTTGTCAGTGGAGGTTTTCAAGAATAGAATAGACAGCCATTTATTAAGGATGGAATGAGGTCTCCTGCCTTGAGGTATTAAATATCTGTTTTAAAAAGTTGCTGTTTGGATCAAGTATTGTCGTCATAATACTGATTGTACAATGAACAAATGTTTTTGAAATTAATCCTAGGTATCATAAGATTTACAGTGTTCTGGAGAAAATCATCAATTTATATCAATTTACTGTACTTTGTTACAGGAAAAATATTCATGTTAGTATTGACTATATGAAATGTGTTTCTGTTTTTACATTCACAATACATGTATGTATTTTTATCTTGACTTCATATGTGAACCAAACATATTTTTGCATTGAACTGCCCAATGAAGAGTGGAAATCCTAACAGTACTTGAAGAATGTATTTTTAGAGAGAATTTCTTTTAGAAAGATTTCTAGATCTGTATATAATAGCACTAACTTCAAAGATGAAGGGTAGACATATATGTGACTGCTAATTCCATCTGTTGTGAAAGTTTTCATCTGTTGCATTCAGTGCTCTCTAGTCTCAAATTTGCTTCCCAATGAGGAACATTTTACCCTAGAAATACATGATTTATTTAGTCTTCCTAACTCAAACTAATAGAGTTTTATAAGTTCAATTCCAATACTACATATGTTCAATATGAAGTATTAGACAATTCCCTCTTCTTGCATAAGCTTTGCTTATGTTCATAATTTTTCTTTTTCAGGCTATAAAGATACAATACAAAACAATAAAGATCAGTCTAAAAAGCTTTAAAAGTACAGCTTCCTAAAGTATCATTTATTATATAGTTAATTATAGTAAATATTAAATATCATGAAAGTAGGTTCATAATAGATCAAATGCATTAATGGTATTTTACAATTTATGCAAACAAGGCTAAACATTACAACTAAACATGACTCTAAAGAACAAACATTAGAAGACAGTCAAAGAAGAATGAACTTAAGTTAAAAAATAATTTAACAGATGAGGAGAACCTGACAGACTCATTTCTAATTTGCAGCCTACATTTTGTTTTCATCATGGCTTTAAACAAATATGAGAAAAATTCACCTATATTGAATGGCCTTGACAAATTGGTTTTGCATCCAAATTATATAATGATCATTTAAGAATAAAGGAGCGAGTAAGTTCCACAATGAAAAAATATATAGACATATTACAATGTATCTATTCTCATCTAGCATAACTCCAACATAAGTACCAGAATAGATTCCAAAATATTGTCCAAGGTTTTTTTTTTTTAAGAAATTGCCATTTTCCCCCTCAATTTTGCATTATACAGGCAGCAGATGGCAGCAGATGGCCAGCATTGCTTGAGCTTGAAAGCTAAGCTGGGTGAAGCAGGTTAGTAGTTGGACGGGAGGCAAATTGAGACTATTAGGCTGTAAACTGTGTGAAGAAAAGGGACAAAAAAAATCCCTAAACACATCTAGGATTACATCATAGAAAGTGCCAAACAACTTTCATATTATCACCTGGAAAACAACAGTATGAATTCATTAAATCAGTATAGTTGAGTTTTATTGAAAGGAACCTAACTTTACGATTTCTAATATGTCTTTTTCAAGAGGTCTCCCTGGTACATAGTTCTATGAGAAAACGTAAGAAAGTCAGTTAAGAAAATCAGGGCAGATGTGGGTTTCAACAGAAAACTTAGTTTTTGGTTGTTTATATGTTCAGGTAGCAATAGTTCACTTCCCATCCATGCTTTCTTTTTTATGGCTTCTTCCTCTGGACACCAAGATTTCTAAGAGAAAACTAGAATCATGCCAAACAATGTCAAATAGCTAAAAGACAGTTTATTTAATTACGTATCCCATACAAAGTGAATGAGCTTATCCATGAAGACGCATTTTATCACCAAAGAGATACATTCCCATTATTGAGGTAAAGAAGACAAAATGATTCACGGGTGCCATCCATTGCTGACTAGAATTAGAAAATAATTTTGTGTATGTAGAAGTCTCCTCATCACTTTTTTCCAAAACCAAACACTACTTTGAAGGTTAGCATAATGCTATTATACTGTGGTTCTTTTGTTTCTTTTATCCAATTTTTGTACTATTTCTTACATCCAGGAGATCAATATTAAGCCATATATTGATAAGCTATATCAAATATACTTTTTTCTCTATTATTTTATGCAGCTTGGTATTTAACATTCACTCTTCTAAATACAAACTTGGTAGGACTGGGAAGTAACCCTGTAATCCTCAAGGGTAACAATAGCAGGGAAGAATGTTTTAATCATAACACTGCATGTTCCTTGTTACTGCTCCAAATTATTTTTTATATCTTGTGTTAGTTTCTGCCCTTCAGATCTATATTTTTTAAATACAAGTGCAAAGGATTACAAATAATATATATGCTTGCATGTATATCTGTATTCTTTGTGTAGTAAAAGCTTTTAAATATAATTTTATGGTGTCCTGTTTTGGAGGGAAAAAATCCTCATTTTTCTTCCTTATTTTCTCCTTTTCTATAAAAAACAATCTAGTGGAGCACAAGTTTCCAAGGCCCTAAATAACTGAGTCTGACAAGGTGGTTGTTTTTTTTCAGTGCAACTGAAGTTTTCTTTGCTTCATGATTTTAGTTGCTTCTGTTTTGACTTTATGATTTCCCATGATAGCTGTAATTGGATACACACTAGGCAATTTGTTGCGTTTCAAATGACATTTAATGCTAAAAAGAAGCCAGCAACAAAAGACAGCAAGTGCATCAGAAAACAAGATCCTTTTCATTCCAACTATGACATAATTGAATCTACAGTTATCTAAGTGATATAATGTATTCTGTGTTACTCTCTGCCTCCAATTTCAATAGTCAGTAGCTATCATTAGCTAAAGCAGTTTAATATGTTCTTTTTTACTAAATAATAAATTTTATTCACAGAAGATAGTTGCTATCATATAATCACTGGTTCAAGTAAAAATCATGCAACTGATCCAGAAATTAAAGGCAAACCAGTGTAGTACATGTTTCCTACATTATAGCAGTAGGAGAGAGGAAGGCAAGGACATTTTGTGAATTTATTAAACATAATAGCTCTTCAGACATTTCCCAAATTTAAGCAACTGTTTCAAATGGTTTCAGAACATCAATTTTCTGAAAGATAAATATATGTACATCAAATATAATTAGTGCCATCAAACTAGATCTAATATCTGATAACTGAATGGACAAATACTTTCTCAACTTGCCTTTGGTTAAAAAAATGTAGCTCTTGCAGGGTAGTCCAATAAATACTTTGAGCCCATTCATATACTTTACCTAGTATTTCACTTTTTCAATTTCCCAGGGACATTTGCAGCAGTGGTCTCTCACTTCAAAGGAGATATGACCTAAGCACCAGAGCTCATTATAACAACATTGCCAAAAAGGGATTAAGAGTTGTAAATCTAATCTTATGAAGCTTCTCCTCCAGAAATATTGAATTGCTAACTAGA